TTTCAAATGGAGAGCCATCTGAGAGTAGAAAAGAAAGCGAGTACAGATCAGCATAAGTCAACCGCACCGAACTAAGAGGTAGAGTAAAAACACTTACAGTAACTGCTCGTTGGAGAGCTGAGCAAAAAGAGGCCTCAGGGGGGGCATGGTAGAGGCCCTCTGAATATCGGATTTAGGAAGAATAGATGAAATGGTCCCAACAACTAACTCAACGTTGTCAAAGAAGGAGTCTTCATCAGTTTCCCGGTCCTCTCTCTTTTTGACTTTGGGGCTCCGAAGAGGTAGCTGAGATGGTCGTTCAGATGGTTCAAGAGGAGTGGAGTCTTGCTGAATTCCAGTAACCAGCCCTAAGGCTCCCTCAACCTCAGAAGAGGTGGGGGAAGCCAGCTCTGGCTCAGAAGCCTTTTTGGGAACAAGCTGGGCCCCTTGAAGAAATGAGGTGGCTGGGGATTGAGATGAGGGAGGTTGTCCTTCTTTGCTCAAGGCAGGAGAAGAAGGCACTCCCAGCTTTTGCACCGTAGCCCTGTCAATAAGGCTGCCTCTAGAGTTGGTCTCAGCCTTTCGTGTACCACTCTTCCTATTCTTCTTAAGTAGGTCAACATTAGCCTGAAGTTCCTTAGGAGTAGATTTCATTATAGAAGAGCCTGGAAGATCTAAACCAAGCTAGTTAAACAGAAAAGAGAAAAAAGAAGGGAAGGCAAGGAAACCAACTCAAAAAGTGTTACCTTCTACGTCTTCAGGTCTAACAACAGAAATGGGGAGTGGAGCTTCTATCGATACCTTATGAGGACTAAATTCCTGTGTTACTAGAACCCAGGGCTTGATGAGCTCGGAGTATTTATCTGGATTACACTTCTCCAACTTTCGCTTCACTTTTTCGTCCTCAGCACTGAGCTCAGGTCGAATGCCTAAAAAATAATACAAGGAAAACAAAGGTCAAAAAGGCAACTCGATAATTTTCAAACCAGAACTCAGTCAGTTCAAGCAAGGACTCATCTAAGTTATCAAGGGTGGACCAGGCTCTAGGGATACCAAGAGTGTTAGTCCTATTAGCAGGGTTGTACTCCTAGTTAGTGCCCCTAACCAAAAAGAATTGATTCTTCCAACCCTTATGGGAGATCAGGAGGTGAGTAATGATCTGCCTAGCCGTGGTTCGCTTGGAGATATACAAGAAACCCTCAGATGAGGTGAGCTTGACATTAAAAAGATCTGCAAGCAAGGAGAGACTGGGAACCTCGAGCTCATGTTTCTTAAATAAAATTAGAAGACCTACCAGAACACCCCAGAAATTAGGAGAGAGCTGAGCAAGACAGACGTTGAAGTGTTGCAAAACACTCTTGATGAAGGGGTGCATAGGGAAGCGAAGGCCATTCTTGAAAGCGGCCACGAAGAAACAGACTTTCTTATGAACCTGGGCAACATATGAGGTGTATTTATCTGGACACCAGGAGGAAAACTATAACGACCATTGAAAATTTTCGTAAGAGAAGGAAACTTCACTAGGTCCTACGAGCTCAGCATGCCTAAAAATAGCCCCTGTGCCCGCTACGCTATCAGAGACTTCTACCCCACTCACCTTGCCCTTATCTTTGTTAGGATTAGGGGGCATAGAAGAAGACAATGGGGGAGGTTCCTCAGTATTCTCCTCGGCATCGACAACATCAATGCCAGGGAAATTGTTGATTTCCTCGCCCCACGTCCCTTAAATCAGTATCCTCTTCGGTAGACCTTTCTCTCAATAGAGAAACAGAGAAACAAGTAGCTCGGGAAGGATAGACATGATTGGACAGGAGAAAGGTAAATTGAAAGAACGGTAGAGGTGAGGGATACTAGTAAGGCATTCCCGGATAACCCTAGGGTCAACACAGTATCTTCCAACAGCAAGAATTCGCACGATAGGGCGCCAATCCATGAAGTGGGGAAGAGGAGACAAGCAGCAGTTTCGGTTCAAGAGATAAAAGAACCGGAAAGCCCAGAAATGCAATGACCACCTCGAACTTGAGGGATCCAGGACAAGAAAAGACGACATAAGGGGCAAAAGAGGCGTACCTAGTTAGAAAAGAGCAATAGCCTAGAGCAAAATTGGAGAAAGAAGGCAATGCGAGTCTTCAAATCGAACCCAGAAAACTCGATCTTGAGTAAAGAATTGGAGAGCTTCAAACCAGAAAGCCAAGAGACCGCAAGGAGGAAAATACGACAAAGAAACCAAACAGTGGAAAAGGGCGGTTCTGATGGAGTATTTAAAGCTTGAGAGACGTGGGCGGGAACCGAGGAGGCTATGATTGTTGAAAATCATCCAAAAGACATCTATCACGTGCAAGCCAAGGACAACCATGTGCAAGCCCAGCTTGGTTTAAAAACAGCTCAACCCCTGCCCAAGCTTGCTTGAACCAGGGGCTGGGAGGGCAACTGATGATATCTCAAATAAGTTATAAGAGCAAGTTCAGGAAATGAGGTCAGCTCAGGAGGTCAGAAATGATACGAGGAGCTCAGAAGTTCAAAGCCAGAGCTCCCCCCTGGGGAGAGGATATCGGAACTGACCAGGGAACAGTTGGATAACTGCAAAATTGGGTTCCAAGCATGAAACTCTCAATCAACCAAGATCCTCTCCTAAAATCAAGGAGAATCCCATTAATGGTAGGCAAAGATCTCGGCTGAGATCCTGCAGAATAGGAAATAGTCCTATAAATACTATGTAACGCTTCAATAGAAGGGGGGATAAAACAAGAAAAACCCTAATTACATGACATACGGTATTGAAATACATTTGAGTAGTGAATAGAGTAGAGGGAGCGAGAGCCTCCATTAAAGAGTGAACTAGCCGAGCTCCTGAGCCAGTGAACCACTATATTTTCACTGTGTGCACCCCTTTAATCCTTTCATTGTTTCACAGCAGCATCACATACGAGCCCTGTAGCTCTAATCCACACTTATCACACGTCATCTACACCTTTTGCTCATCCACGTTGATTTACACCATCAAATGGGTTCATTGTGGAATGCACTCTTTTGTCCATACCATGTGATACCACTAGAATCAATATATGATTCAACAGAATAAACTTTATTCAGCGATGTTGAGTTGTTTGTTGAGCGTTTACGTTTGTTATCCGAAGATGAACTATTTTGATTATTGCGTGAAGAAGAACTTGCATGTAATGTGCTCTTATATATTTTGTTTAGTGGTGGTGCATTTACATAATTGTGAATGATAGTATATATATGTTCGGTTTGACAATTTTAAATTGCAGTGTAAAGATATCAATCTGCATAGGTTAGAACTGATTTGACAGTAATGTAAAATGACAACAAAAAAATTGGGATACGACAACACACTGCATACACTGATAAAGCCATTTCCCCCCAAGTGTGAACAAGCTGGATGACCAACTGATCTGACATTATAATTATAATGGGTGATTTTTAGTTCATAGCACATATCACATCATCATGGATCAAGGCTTACTGCAAGCGGGTTCGATCAACTCAATTCTATCCAGTAGCATTGGTCATGGGAATTGGAATTTTGTATGGAACTAGAAGATTCCAAATAAAATTAAAATTTTTGTATGGCGGGTGTGCGCTAATGCTTTACCAATGGGTGTAGAAGAGTCGCTGTGGGAGGTCAGTGTTTAGTGTGCCAAACTTCAGTTGTATGGTTGATTCATTGCCTCAAAGACTGCCCCTGGGCTGTTGTAGTGTGGCGCCTCAGTTCGCTGGCTGCAGTGGCTCAGTTGGATATCTCTAACCCAAGAGAGTGGCTCTATGAGGCTCACCAAATTCTTACTCCTGATGACTACTCCCTCTTTCTTATTCTGTGCTGGCTTGTTTGGAGAAATAGAAATATTAGGATCTTCGAGGATGTAGTGCAAGATCCCTCGAAAGTGAGCGAGTATGCTTGAAAGTACTCGAGGCATATCCAAGAGGTAGTAACCTCATCTGACCTGATCCCAAGTGCCGAGTCCAGCAGCAGGTGGTGTCCACCAAGGTCAGGTACCTTTAAAGTTAATTTCCATGCTGCCTTGTTTGTATCACAACATGTGTTGGGAGTGGGAGTAGTCATAAGAGACGACCGGGGGGCACTTTGTGGGGGCTTTTTCTAAACGAATGGCTATTAATTGTGAGATTAGGACGGCAAAAACCATTGCGACAAGAGTTGCAATCCAATTTGCTAGGCAACAAGAACTGAGCAACGTTACTTTGAAAGGTGACTCTGTCGAAGTTATGAACTTTATTCAGAGCTGTGATAAAGTTGATATAACCAAAATTAAATTGACAAAANTTCACGTTGATTTACACCATCAAATGGGTTCATTGTGGAATGCACGCTTTTGTCCATACCATGTGATACCACTAGAATCAATATATGATTCAACAGAATAAACTTTATTTAGCGATGTTGAGTTGTTCGTTGAGCGTTCACGTTTGTTATCCGAAGATGAACTATTTTGATTATTGCGTGAAGAAGAACTTGCATGTAATGTGCTCTTATATATTTTGTTTAGTGGTGGTGCATTTACATAATTGTGAATGATAGTATATATATGTTCGGTTTGACAATTTTAAATTGCAGTGTAAAGATATCAATCTGCATAGGTTAGAACTGATTTGACAGTAATGTAAAATGACAACAAAAAAATTGGGATACGACAACACACTGCATACACTGATAAAGCCATTTCCCCCCAAGTGTGAACAAGCTGGATGACCAACTGATCTGACATTATAATTATAATGGGTGATTTTTAGTTCATAGCACATATCACATCATCATGGATCAAGGCTTACTGCAAGCGGGTTCGATCAACTCAATTCTATCCAGTAGCATTGGTCATGGGAATTGGAATTTTGTATGGAACTAGAAGATTCCAAATAAAATTAAAATTTTTGTATGGCGGGTGTGCGCTAATGCTTTACCAATGGGTGTAGAAGAGTCGCTGTGGGAGGTCAGTGTTTAGTGTGCCAAACTTCAGTTGTATGGTTGATTCATTGCCTCAAAGACTGCCCCTGGGCTGTTGTAGTGTGGCGCCTCAGTTCGCTGGCTGCAGTGGCTCAGTTGGATATCTCTAACCCAAGAGAGTGGCTCTATGAGGCTCACCAAATTCTTACTCCTGATGACTACTCCCTCTTTCTTATTCTGTGCTGGCTTGTTTGGAGAAATAGAAATATTAGGATCTTCGAGGATGTAGTGCAAGATCCCTCGAAAGTGAGCGAGTATGCTTGAAAGTACTCGAGGCATATCCAAGAGGTAGTAACCTCATCTGACCTGATCCCAAGTGCCGAGTCCAGCAGCAGGTGGTGTCCACCAAGGTCAGGTACCTTTAAAGTTAATTTCCATGCTGCCTTGTTTGTATCACAACATGTGTTGGGAGTGGGAGTAGTCATAAGAGACGACCGGGGGGCACTTTGTGGGGGCTTTTTCTAAACGAATGGCTATTAATTGTGAGATTAGGACGGCAAAAACCATTGCGACAAGAGTTGCAATCCAATTTGCTAGGCAACAAGAACTGAGCAACGTTACTTTGAAAGGTGACTCTGTCGAAGTTATGAACTTTATTCAGAGCTGTGATAAAGTTGATATAACCAAAATTAAATTGACAAAAAAACACATATTTTAAAAAATAAAAATATTATTAACCTACTTTAAAAATTTGCGTGTAACACACTATAGTTTCGAATCAAATTCAAAGTAAAATTAGGGTATAAGAAGACTAAAAATCATATATAATTTTTAACTCAAACTTACACCAAATCAAAAAAAAACTTTTTCTTTCTGGCCCAGAATTGAAGGAGAACCAAACCTTTTACTCAAAATTTTTTAAGCCAAAAAAGACCCTCTTCTTCTCTCTCTCTGGTTTACGAACTAGGTTACCCTGCCATCAGCCATCGGCTTCCATCTCCACTGCAGCTTGCTGCTTCTAGATCTGCTCCTTCCAGCTTCCAGATCTTCCAGTTCAGCCTCAATAGCAATCATCCAGCTTCCAGATCTTGCTCAATGACACAAAAGTTGGAGCATCTATGTGTGGAATACTATATATTCTGTTTGCTTTCTCTTGGAGCATTGCAGATCTGTTTGCTTTCTGTTGAAATCCTATACACATGTTTTTGAGGAAAAAATTTAAGGAAATGAGTTTGGTATAGTATGGGATTTTTTTAAAAATATTTGAGTATAAGTTGGTTTTCTCAATCAAGCTGACCTCAAGCATGTTTGCTGGGAAACAAGCGATCTTCATCACATGGCTAGCTTATTAGGGTCAGATATGGGTGATCACTAGGAATTTATCTGCGAACATCATTTATTGAAGATCAGGATTTGGAAAATCCTTAGACTTCGTTTGGTTTGCAAGTAAATACGGGAAAAAGGGAAAAAATGGAACTTTTTTCTTGTTTGTTTAACCAAAAAAAATCGAGAGTTTACCGGAAAGTGAGATTGTGGAGCACACTAAATTTTCTTGTTTAGAACACTTTCGATTTCTTGTAAAATAAACATTTAATTTTTTTTTTCTCGTGAAAATGTGGGCTACTGCTCACAGTTGACCTTTTTGCCCATAGTCATTTCTTATCTTTTTCCATATATGGATAGTGAATTGAACAACAGCAAGCCCTCAACAAAGATAAACTTGGTTTAACATAATTAAGGATAATTTAATTATAATATATTTTTTCTTTAGATCGATTTAATGTAATTAAGAATAATTTAAATAATTAAATAAAATTTTATTTCTTTTAAACAATAGAATGAATTTTTTTAAAAAAATTCTTACTAATTATATTTTCTCTCATTTTTTTTTTCATTCACTTTATTTTCTAATTTTAACATCTCCATTTGAAGAGATAAAAATGGTGATATGTCAACTATGCATTGTTTCTACTTTAATAATATTTGATATTTATTTATTTTATCATAAAAGGTGGATAAATGCATAGTCTTTCAAGTTTAACATCTCCTTCAATCTAGATAAGGATATTTTAGATAATTCTTAAAATTTTCTAATAACTTTACTATCTTTCAAACAATAAAAAAAATTTTTAAAAAAATTTTCTTTCAAAATTTTCATGCTAATCAAATAGATTAAAAATATATATATATATATATATATATTTTTTTTTTCTCTCACTATACTTTCTACCATTCTGTTTTTTCTAACCAAACTGACNATTTTTTAAAAAAATTTTCTTTCAAAATTTTCATGCTAATCAAATAGATTAAATATATATATATATATATATATATATATTTTTTTTTTTTTTTCTCTCACTATACTTTCTACCATTCTGTTTTTTCTAACCAAACTGACCGTTAGGAAATTCAGTGAAGGTCACATAGTTCTACTTGGCTTCCAATTCTTCGGATGTGGCTGACTTGAGATCAGCTATAGATTAACACAAATACCAATCAATGTAAATTTAGTCAAAGCGAATACCAATCTGTAAAAGATAAGTTGTATATTTATATAATAAAGTATAATATAATTTAAATTTAAAAAATAAACAAAATAATTTTTGTTTTTCCTGCCTTAGATATTTTTAAATTTTATTTTAATGTTAATTCGATGACTAATATTAACACTCTAAATTTCATAGAAAAATATGTCCCTAAAGTGAATTTAGAGTGACTTTTTAAAAATGTTTTTAGAACTTATAACTTCTCATAAATATTTTTTTATAAAAATTAGTAATGCACGATGTGCGTTGCACGCAATTAAATTTAAATAATATTATATTTATAGAAAATGAAAATTATATGTATAATTAAATTAAATAATAAATTAGATGTCAAATAATTAATAAGTATTTTAATTTTTGTTAAATTTAATTATTGATTTATTTTATAAATTTTTGAGTACCTAATTTATCATTTATTTAGGTATCTCTCAATAAATTGATTAATATTAATATATCATTAGATACCAAATAATAAAATATATCATATTTGACCGTAAAATTTAACCTGATAATTACGTGTGTGTAATAATTTAAAATACATAGGATTTTACTTTTTTATATAAATATAAATATAATTGAATATAATTGTACTACTAATAAATGAGTTCAAAAAAATTTAGAAATTCGTATAAAAAAGTCAAAAATAAGTTAAAAGTCAAATAGTTGTAAAAAAAAATTTAAATGAAAATATATAGGTAGTATAATTGACTTTATTATAATAATTAAGGACAAAAAGAAATTAAATTTTTTTAAATATATTGACATTTATAAATAGTATAGATAAAAAAAAGTAATGTTTGAAACTATCTCACCACCACCAGCCCCACTACCATCACCACTACCATCGCTACCATCCCACCACCACCGTTACCAACCCAACCACCACCATTACCGCCCCACCACTATGGTTGCCATCCCACTATCACCACGACTACCACAACCACAGCCACCCTACCACCACCACCATCACCACCATTACCACTATTATCACCATTATCGCCACCACCACTATCGTCACACCATTACAACCTCTGCCCCAACAAAAACCACCACTGTCGCCGCCACACAACCACCATCTCTGCAACAACAACTACCACCACCAACACCACAACCATCGCCACCCCACTACCACCATCGCCACTATAACAACTACAACCACCATCGCCACCCCACCATCAGGGGCGGAGGCAGGGTGGGGGCAATTGCCCCCACTGAAATTTTGAAAATTTGTAGGGTTAATTTAAAATCAGGGGGGACAATTGCTCCTATTGAAATTCTGAAAATTTGCTGAGTTAATTTAAAATTATAATAAAAATTAATTTTTTTAATAACTTGCCTCCACTCATTTTTTTTAATGCACTAAAAATTTAGACTCAAGGTTCGCTCNAGGGGGGACAATTGCTCCTATTGAAATTCTAAAAATTTGCTGAGTTAATTTAAAATTATAATAAAAATTAATTTTTTTAATAACTTGCCTCCACTCATTTTTTTTAATGCACTAAAAATTTAGACTCAAGGTTCGCTCATAGAGACTTAATCTCAAATTTTTTTATTTAATCTCTAATTATCTTTATTCTTTCTACAATGACTCACTTAAGTTATCGAATCAATCATTTCTCCGAATTCGATTACTAAGACATAGATATATAATTTTTACCAATTATCTATGTTCAAATATACTACATCATTTTCTAAGATTTTAGATTTGGGCGCTTAAAAAAATTTGATCTAATTATGATTCAATTCAATTTGATATGCATATACAAATATGTATACGTAAACATTTGATAAAACTAAACAATTAAATTGAATTAATATATAAGATTGGATTTTTGATAAAATTCATAATATTTAATAGATTCGAATATGGATTAAAAAAATGAAATTAGTTGAATAATTAGATTATATTCAAAATAGGGTTTTCAAGACAAATTGTCATTCGAATGAGTCAAAATCTTATAATTGACAAGCACACTCACAAAATAATATGTCAAAATAGCATTTTCTATGAAAACTGTCTTTATTCTAATGCTTTAAAAAAAAATTATATTAGTTTTTCATAGTTGACTATCTTTTTTTCACGTGTATNGCCATTCGAATGAGTCAAAATCTTATAATTGACAAGCACACTCACAAAATAATATGTCAAAATAGCATTTTATATGAAAACTGTCTTTATTCTAATGTTTTAAAAAAAAATTATATTAGTTTTTCATAGTTGACTATCTTTTTTTCACGTGTATTTATATGTTAAATATTTGAAAGTAAAAAAAATAATACGAAGAATTATTTTATAAAAAGGTGTTAGATTAAGAATTTTTTTTTATAAAGAATGAAATTTTGAGATAATAAATATGTTCACTAGATGCAACGAACTTTGATAATTGTTGAGTAATTATTCTCTTTAACTTGATGGTTGCATCCGGTTCTCTTTAACTTGATGGTTGCTCGCACTGAAAAGAAATTCTGGCTCCGCCCCTGTTTAAAATTATAATAAAAATTAATTTTTTTAATAACTTACCCCCACTCATTTTTTTTAATGCACTAAAAATTTAGACTCAAGGTTTGCTCATAGAGACTTGATCTCATAATTTTTTATTTAATCTCTAGTTATCTTTATTCCTTCTATAATAACTCACTTAAGTTATCAAATTAATCCTTCTCCGAATTCGATTACTAAGACATAGATATATATTTTTGACCAATTATCTAAGTTCAAATATACTACATTATTTTCTAAGATTTTAGATTTGGGCACATAAAACAATTTGATCTAAT